CCTACGTGCCGCAAATCGGCTAAAGACACAAAGGAAAGAATCGGTGTTTAGGGTATTAGATATTTCTAGATGAACCGCTCTTGAGCTGAAGCAAGTGAACAAGCAGCCGTATCTCTTTTCCACGGTCCGTCCACGTTTCACAAATAGTGGTCCAAAATAATCGACACCTGTCACAGTAAATGGATTACAGTGGTACATGAAACGATCTTCTGGTAGGGGTGTCATAGCCTGTTGGCAAGGTTGAGAGAACCACTTACGACACTTATAGCAATTATTGAGAACCGACTTGATGGTTTTCACTGCTTTAATGATCCAATATCTTTCACGGATTGTTGAAATCAGAAAGTTTACTCCCATATGTCCATTCGCTTCATGATAATGTCTAATAATTAAACGGGTAATAAATGATTATGCGGTAGTATAATCGGATGCCTTACTTCAAAGGGTAGACCTGATTGTTGTAAGCGCCCACCAACTCTTATTACTCCATTAACCGTAATTGGTTTCAAATGACGTAGTGCGCTTGAAGACTTGCATAATGCTACTTTAATTGTTCGGTCGACCTCCTTCTCACTCGTCACCACCGTGACGTGATTCAACAGCTTAAATACATCATTGAAACATTCCTTCTGCGCCAATCGGATAATGTTGAGCTCAGCCGCTCTTAACTCTGCGACTGTGAGGTTTTGTTGGTTAGTTAATTTGTTCGTCAAGAGATGTTTATAACGTAGAAGCCAAGCTATCATTCGTTGTAATTTCATCCATGAATTCACAGCTTCGAATCGACTCAGAAACGTAGGTTGATTCTCGTTTGGATATAAATCTTTATTTGACAACATATAGTTTATATAGGAGCATGCATTAGTGTTCTGGTGTGGTTCCTGTTGAACATATCCCTGCAATAAAAATGTAGGACCACTAAGCCATCGTTTTAATTTTCGTTCTTGGTTTACCATGAACCCTCGGGAAAGCAGATCCGCTGGGTTGAGTTCAGAACTAACGTAACACAGTCTGATGGCCTCGTCTGTTCCTGTATATAGACCGACCTGTTAGCAAAAAACGTAGGGAATCTCTTGGAAGCATTGTTTATGCTATGGAGTACGACGAGAGAGTCAGTCCAATAAACTGTTTTGAGTATAGTAACAGTCATCTCTGTTCGGATAAACTTGGAGATTTTCACAGACAAAACTGCTGCCGCCTATTCTAAACGTGGTATACTCGTAGCCCTAATAGGTGCTACTTTAGCTTTAGCGAATATCAGTCGACATTCTTTAACACTTTGCTGTTTCAGTAGTAGCAAATACCCTGCTGCTCCGTATCCATTATTAGAGGCATCGCTGAACATATGTAGTTCGATTCCAGTACATTCGGCTGCATTTAATGACCGAGGCAAAACTATCTTTTCTATATGAGTAAGACTTCCTTGCCATTTTCTCCAAACCTTTAGTTCTTCTCCTACTATTAAATCATCCCAAGAAAATTTCATTTTGCATAGTTTCTGAAGGATAAGTTTCGCTGGGAGAATAACAGGTGCTAGGTAACCCACGGGATCGAATATGGAGGCGACAAATGACAATACATTACGACGTGTAACAGGTTCATTTACCCTCCCGACATAAAAACGAAAGGTATCATCGCTTATGTTCCAACTTATGCCCAAAGCTCGACAAGTGGTATGATCGCCGTGCCCGATGTGTACACATGGCCCGATACAATTAAACTCAGGTAGCAGTTGAGCTAATGTTGAATCATTAGTAATCCACTTAGTCAAGTTGAATCCACCTTTTGATAACATATCTTTCAACTGAGTTGCTACTCGATAACTTGTTTCAGTATTGGGAGTACTAATTAAACAATCGTCTACGTAGAAACTACGTGTAGCCATGTCGTAAACTTCCTTGTCATAGTTTTCCTTGTTATCTTTGATGGTACGATTAAGAGCAAACGTAGCGCAACTAGGAGAAGAGGTTGCTCCAAATAGGTGGACTGTCATGCGAAGTTCTGCAGGGCTGTCAGTAAAATCTCCGTTCGTCCACCATAAAAAACGCAGAGCGTCTCTATCGCATTCGGGTACTTTAACCTGGTGAAACATTGTTTCGATGTCAGCCATTACTGCTACCCTTTCTTGTCTAAATCTAAGAATTACACCCAATAACGAATTAGTAAGATCCGGACCAGAGAGTAACCTGTCGTTTAATGATCGTCCTTCATGTTTAGCAGCGCAATCGAATACTATTCTAATTTTCTCTGGTTTCGCTGGATGGACGACAGGGTGATGCGGTAAGTACCATACGTTAGAGTTATCATTTAAAGGTGGCGCAATTTCTGCATATCCCTTTATAAGGTAATCTTTCATTGCATCCGCATAGCGTCTAGCTGAATCTTTAGAGGTACACAGTCGTTTGCGTAAAGCGTTCAGACGATGCAAACAATACGACTTATTATCCGTCCATTCTAACTGTGAATCTTTCCACGGGAGTGATATACAATAATGACAATACTTTAACGTGATAGACTTCTCCATGATTATGAGTGCGGTTCTACCTTCAATCGATAAGTCTTTATCTTTAGACTGACTTTCCTCTAACAGGTCTTGCTAGTAGAATCTTTCAAGATTACTTTCAATTTCTGAGAGACTGAGATGATTTGGCTTTATGTGTCTTGTAACATGAGTACCAAGGGGTCCTATCAGTGTCCAACCAAATATGGTCTTTATCGCGTACGGTTCCTCCGGTCTTCCTGACCTTTGTTCTAAGTTTCTATGTGCTTCAGGAACATTGCAGCCAACCAGTAGTCCTATTCGCTTACTTTCACATCTCCTCAGGTCTATTCCCTGCAGATGTTGCCACAATCGAAGCTGCTTCTCCTCTGGTACCACTCGCTTAATCTTAGGCAAACTGCGAACAACATATGCTCTTTCTATCCGAATTGACTCATCAGATTCGTATGAGCTAACTTCTAGTTGTACCGCATTTGTCCGCATCTCTCTGTAACCATTCATAGTCTCTATCCGAACACGACCATATTCCATAGGTAATTTTAAATCGTCGACAATATCCTTAAGTACCAATGTCGAGTCAGAGCCGCTATCCAAGAATGCTAAAGTTTCTACCGTACGGTCACGATTGCGGAGAATTACTGTGACCACTGCAAATGCCACCTTAGGTTCTTCATTTTCCGCTCGGGAATTCGAAACGTAATTAGTAGCAACATTCGCATTAGATGGTGAGACGTCCGTCGTAACATGCAACAATGTATGGTGCCTACCACCACAACCCTCCACGGTACATTTTCTGCGCAATCTACAATCCTTAGCTATATGATTAGCCTTTAAACATAATCGGCATAAACTTTTCTCCTTGATCAGATCTAACCTTTTATCTACTTCAAGGGATAGCAACGTTGGACACTGGTCTAGAAAGTGGTTGTCTTTACATAAGATACACACTTAATACCTTTCTTGACGTTGACTTGAAGGCGGGTGCTGCAATGTAAACACGTTTCTTTTTTGTACTCGGTGGTTGAGAAGAAACAACGTTCCGGACTCGTTTATCTGACTTTAAATTTGCTGCGAGTTCTCCATATCCATATCCACATTATGTTGACACGTTCCTCGATAAACCTAGCTAAGTCCTCAAAGGTAGGCTCTGTGTCTTGTTTCATATAATCTACCGCTGTTTCCGCCCATTTAAACCAGAGATTCGAAGGCAACCTCGCCACAATAGCTTCTAGTGTTCTGCTTGCATTTAAATCGGACTGGTAACCTAACTGTTTTAATGTCACGATGCATGTTTGCATTTTTTGACTAAGGTCAGCCAATGCCGCCGAGTCGTCGTTCTTAACTGGTGGCCCGTCAATTATTTCATCTATAAAGGCCCTAGCCAGCATGTAATTCTGACCAAATTTCCTTTTTAAGATATCTTTAGCCATTATAAAGCCATCTGTGCCATTCATTATAGTACAATGCTCTATAGAGTCTCTCTCCTTACCTGTGCAGAATTGGATTAAGTAATTCAAACGTATGGCGTCGTCGATTGTCGCTTGTTCTACAACTTTCTGAAACTCTTTCGTGAATGTCCAATACTCCTTTGGGTTTTCGTCAAAGCTCCTTATTTCTGGCTTCGGCAGTTCGAAGTATCTTTCTACATAATTTGTTGTAGGACAGGTGTCGCGTATCATGTCTCCTCTGTCGCTAGAATTTTGGGGACATACTTCTCGTAACAGCATTTCCAACAAGAGCCTTTTTTCCACTTCTTGTATTTTTAGCTTCGCCAATTCTATTTCCATTTCCTTCTCACGTAGGCTTTTTTGGCAGCTTAAGACAGGACTTTCAGGCTTTTCTAACTGAACAGATAAATCTGGCATTCTATCTTCTAGATGTTGTCGTTGATGACGCAAAAAACTTGAATAACTGTAGGATTTTCGTTGCATAACGTTAGATTCACCAGAATAACGCACCCGAAGTCAATGAATTAAAAGCTCTTTCAGTATTCAGAATATTTATTTGGAACAGTTAAATAAATATCGTATGTGGTTCTGCAACAAACAATTATCAATTTACTAGTTACTTACATTCAAGGTGATTAAGCAACAACAACAACAACAAATTATCACAACGATCCGTGTCCCACACACCAAGCGAATAGAATGCCAAACAAAATGGCTGACCAAACAGTCAATGTTTCGACCAATAGAAAACAACTTCTAGATTGTTCGATCATACTGACCAATAAAATGCAAGTTACAAATTATATAGTAAACACTCAACTACTCATGAGTAGTACAACCATTACAACTAAATTCAACATCTGTGATTTGATACTGTACGATTCCATATCCGCACTTTGATGCAAATGACTAATGGGTATGTATTCAAATAACTGTAAATGACTTGCAAAGGGTATGCAAACTTTTTAATCGATTTCTCTATTTTTGTTGAGTAGGTCGAGATAATATTTAGTGAATTGAAATATAAATTGAACAAGTTATTGTCTTGAAAGTCATGGATCGATACAGCACATGAAAATAGAGCTGTTTCGTGGGTAAGTTTTTTTTGAATGAATTGTGTAAAAAATAACCTCGGTACTTTATTCAGGTTCAAGAAACTCGATATTCCGAAGCTAATTTAAATCTGTTTCGTGAGAGGACGTATATATACCGAGAGATAATTTTATTGGTAAGTTCATCATGCAGGAAATTATTTTTTTCGGCATTCTGATGATGTTTAATTGTGCCAAAAGAGTGATTTGTTTTGAATGAAATCCCAAATTTGGCTGTGTAACTTATTGGTTTGCAATGTGACTTGAGGTTAAATCAGTTAATTATGAATTGTGTGTTGTTTGATTGAGTTTATTTAGAAGTAATTTCAGTTAACTGATCTGAAATAACTGGTCAGCAATTAATTCTGGTTGGTTCGATCGATGAACTGATCCGCAGAATCATTACAGACGGGTCGATACTGAATTTCTTTTTCGGAACGCGAAGAATTAAGAGAAGGAGAATCAAATATCACTTCGTAATGATAAAATCACTTATGTAAATTTGTGATTATCTGATAAAATTATGTTTCCGTGTACACACTTAGACAGTGAGTCTTTTCATCACTTTTTGGATACTAACACGTAATCAAGTCACCTAATTTTTTTCAATTCATTTACGTTCGATAGCATTATATCTGACCGTCTTCCCACTTCTTAGTAGTGAAAGTGAATTGACTCACACAATTATACCAGAACGTTTATGACAATGGCATTTATCCAACTAATTTTTTTTACCTCGCGTATAAATTGTTGAATCATTTCATTTTATTTCAGGCACAGCATCATGGGAACAACTATTTCGTGAATGTTTATGACTCTCAATTGTTTAATTTCATTAAATCAACGCACGAAATATTACTTACAAGCGAGTTGTAATTTGTATATTTTTGTGGCTTTTGAAGCGTGCATCTAATTGTTTGTTCATTTAACTTATGCTGACTGGAAATATTCTGTCATCATATGAATCCACCTTAATGCTCACGGATGTATAAACATTTTCAACTAAATGATCAAATCACAACACAGAATGAGTAAAATGCTGACACATGTTGGCATACAGTAATTAGTGTTTTCGAAATCATTCAACAATTTTTATTTCGTACAAAGACTTTTACTAGATGTACTAATATCAGCACATTTCAGTTTCATCCATCATCAGCACAGTGTATACGATCAGATAGGGTTAATTCTATTCATATTTCGGACAAAAAGTTTTTTAAAAAATTCTCATTACTGGATGCAAATTTTATTTGTGGTAACATCAAAGCGTTCAACATCTGCACGACAGTCGTGCATCAAGAGATTATATTTAGAAAGCCCCTACATTGATATGTCCGTTGATTTCCTAATGCAGACGTTTAAAGTGTATTTAAATGCCGAACACTTAAACGAGCGGTCTAAACACCGTTATTTCACGCAGGAATCTAATTATTTTCTATCCATGGATCAGTGGATATCAATCAAATATTGTTTTTATTCGATGATAAATAGCTTGGTAACCCATGTTTAAACAACTTCACGGATAATTAATGCCTTTCTGTGTGGACAGGCTGTCAATAGTTCATCGTGATATGCGAATGGTTGTCAGTGAATGACTTAACATCAAATTGTTTGAATGACAGGTTTTTCCTTTTCATTCACGTTTTGAGACTATAATAGCTAAAACATCAGTTCCTTTTATATAATTTTTGATTTCTATTTCAAAATACTTGAACCTGAAATTATCAGTTACACACAAAATCTTATTGGATCCGTATCATTCCCCAATATTTATTTGGCTGCCTCGGTATTACATCGGTCATTTCTCAGTGAATCACCATCAATGTCTGAAAACTATGGAATTCTCGGGTGGCTTATTGGTCGTCAACTGATATCCGAAAGTTGGTTTTGTAATATTTTCTCTAGAATAATCTTGAGCAAAATAAAGTTTTTTCCGAAATAATTGGGAGCAGAGGATATTTGCTTATCTAATGTTTACAGGCAATTTATCAACTGAGTCGTATCGACCGTGTAAATATGGGCTCCTTCTGTTTAGTTGCCAGCAACTTTTTGTTTGAGATAGGATAAAAATTAGGGCGCTTACTTCAATGCACCGACGCTAGATTTTTGTTGGACAAGTAAGAGGAGAACGAATAACAGTATGTGCAGCAGTAGCTATACACTTAAGATTCACAGGAAAGGTTCTTAAATGACTGTACCCGTCGGATTTCAGGCTGTGAGAAATACACATATTCAGTACCGCAACGGATAAATTTCGAATGAAACACTGTTGATGACAGTTGAGATGGAAAATCTTTCTTCTGAAGAAATTAAATTTCGATTCTCAAAACGCTGAATGAATAAGTCAATGGAAATTGAATGATTATAAATATCGATTGCTTTAATTACATACTCAAACTTACACAGAGTCGGGAGAACTGTTCTTTTTAATTTATATCATTGCAAACTGCAAAAATCGAATCAATGAGTGTGATATATTTCAGTCTAATATTTTCAAAACTTGAATGATGAATTAGAATTTTCGATTACTTAGAATGCATGCATTTTATTTCTCACCTTCAAAGTAGTGAAGAAATAAGGCACTCATATAGTGTTTATTTCTTAAAAGTAAACGGTGCTGTTATAACGTTTGCATTACAGCTTTTAGAACACATCAGTTTGATGAACAAGGCCACATATGTAAAACGAAACTATTGTCACCACTTGAACATCAAATGTGTTGTTTATCAAAACAAATTAGCGATCGAGGGATTGAAAAAAAAGTAGGTCGTTCAATTAAAAGCGTTTCATTTTCATCTTTGCTGATTTTGTACCTAGGTTGCGTTCGATATTTTTAGGTATATCTATAAGAATGAAATGTATTCAAACGGTGATATTCCGTTGGAAAATGAAACATTCTACTAACGGTAGATAACGCTAGCCATGTGTTGGTTTTCAGTGAACAGGAAGGCAGTTGTTTACCGAAATGACACGTTTCTCAGTCAATTAGCAAGTCGGTTAAAATGATTTAAAACAATTCACTGTTTAGGTGGAATGTTATTCACTCATCTTCTTGTACATTTCCACAAGACGGATATTTATTCTTATCGATACAATATTTTTTGTCATTGAGATCGCTTTTCAAGTGGTAACCTAGAATCGAAATGTGTACGACAATGCAACGATCAATGAATTTATTTTTGATAATTATCAGTATTTCATGTCAGGAAAATAGTTATTGTAGGACGTTTTCGATAGATTATCGTTTGGTTTTGACTGAACATATAGATCGACGTTGATTACGTTGAGCCAAAAGGTCATAAATCAAATAAACGTAATAAAAATTGATTTACGGATAATCCAACCTCCGATGCCAGTTTATTCAGGCCCACAAAACACTTTTAAAGCTAACTTTAGACAACGATATTTTCTGAATCGATATTTATTGATCAAACCAACATATGAGTATTACAAAACACAAACAAATTATATGATTTATATCACGTTAGAAGGAGCAGAACATAGTGTAGGTAAATTTAAATATCTTGATATGTTTTCATAGATGTTCAAAAACCTTATTTTAACTCAAAATTATTTGTTCATACTAGGATTCAAAGCAACTGGCAGCTGATATCAATGGTCTTATTTTAGCGTTCTCAGTAAGTGATTTTATTTTTGGTTGTATGAATTCCTTTCTACCAGCACAAAGATTATTCATGAATGTATGCCTGAAACACATAGTTCTTCCGTTTGAACTGTGTAGAAGCGTGAGCTGAATTTTAACCGCATTGTATTATTCTGTGATGAAAAAAGCATTTGGATCCATTTTTTTTAAGGTCAACGTTAATCGACAACAGTTTGATTTGTGGATGATTTCTGCTTAATATTGTGTTGAAGAAAAATGGGAGATTACTGATGTCTTCTTACTAAGTATCTAAGTAACTAAGGATTTCGAAATCTACTCATGTCAAATATTTCGTTATTTTGTCATCAACGTCTATGAAATGCATTATTTATTTGAAATTTATTGAATAAAATACTATACTCTATTACATACAACAGAATAATCGCAGTTCAATAGTAACTAAAATGAGATCTCGCATTCATTATTTGATAAGTTTTCGATTTCTAGAAAAATTGCAACTTACAATGTTATGTGATTGCTTCATGTCAAACGGAACCTTGATATCGTATGATAATCAAACAATCCATCATATTTTCTAGCTGCAATAATCAGAATTCGAATGAAACTCAAATATGGGAAGACGAATGACAATTTTGTCTGATTGAACAGCAAAATTACTCGTACTTCAGCACCAAAATGTCAAGGAATTCTTCTTAAGATTATCAGGCAAATATTCACGGTACCTACATGGGTTTTTCATTCTGAATAATTAGACAGTCATAGTTTGATATGCAGTTATTTAAAATGAAGTAATATTTCTGAATGTTTATTTACAAGTAGCATTGTGTATTGTTCATTGCTTACCTTTTATGTAGCGCTTCAAGGATGTCCTACTAGGCGATGATAATGATTTGGAGAAAATGAAGTCCTTTTTCGAAACATTTGCTAAAGTTGGTTATGCACAATGCAATGATTTTATTCACTCATCATCGACTTAATTTCATATGAAATGCCATGAGTTATCATCATTTTCGAGTAGTAGACTAAAACACTAGAAATCAAATCTTCTTATGAAACAAGTGGTTCACACAAAATAAGAATATGAGAAGTGATAGTTTGATGCAATGAAACGAACATTTTGAAACACAAAAAGAATGAAATTCTTTCAGTTATGAGGTTTCGTATTGAAATATTGAGTTTGATGGGCTAGTAATCCCAGATACAGATAAATTTCTAAAGCTTCAGAACGAAAATATGTCTTTTCCTCATCTTAGATACATGATTGATGATGAAATTCGCTAAAATTTTATTCGTGTAAGAAAGTGAAAATGACCATGACTAAAAAACAACAGAATATATCATGATAATTAATCGCTAATAAAAGTCTTTGGTGACATGATACAATGAGAATTTGCTTTTGAGAGCAACTGTGATCCAGAAGAACCTGTAAATAATAAAAAAAGTTTTGTGTCAGCTTATACTTAAATATACTTAAATTCTGTTTGTAATTCTATAACTTAGATGACTGATTCTACGAAATTAGTGAACTTACGTCTCCTGTATTACATTACTTAAGGATAAATCAAAAATTCGAATCATGAGTAGTAACAAGCGAATAACCAGGTTTATTCACTTATCCAAAACCTAGTGAATATACGGATAAATGTGAGATTTCATGTGTTCCTTTCTAGAACAGTTGTTTTATAAGAATGCAACTTTTAAAAGACCAACAAACGCGCAAGCACTGAAAGAGAGGCCGTTTGACAACAAAATTCAAAGCCCTTTTGGTCAGGTGATCCGTCATCTTTTTCTGTCATTTAGGACTTAAATTTCTTCAATAATAGCGTATGAATCCATCGACTTATATTCACAGTTTGGTTTGCTCAATGCAGTTGACTACGTTTTAGTTTCGTTAAGATAATTGTATAGTCAAACTATGATGCATTTGAATGTTGAGAACAGTGTAATTTGAAACAGCTTCTCCATTTTATAGACATTACCTTCCAGTCTTTACAAATAACAGATTATTAAGTTTTTATCTGCACTGAGTTATCATAATAATGCATTATTTTACGTTTTGTGATTCTCTCTAATTTCATATATCCTTTATATCTGAAGACAACGTGTGATGCTTCCTCTCATGATCTGATTGGTTTCAAGTCCCGTTTTTCTCAACAAAACTACGAATTTAGGTAACGCGTTCACATAAAATTATAGGTTTTTTCGCAATTTATAATTGTTTTTATTATGTAATATTGACCGCCTTTGTCGAAAAATAAACGTATCACTCCGTAAAAAGTATATTTTTATTTCATAAGTATTCACTATCATTGAATTCATTGCAATTATGTGCGCTGATAAATGCAAGTATAATTGTTCAATTCACAATCATCGGCGTCAATCCTGGTACAGTGAATAAATCAAACATTCGTTCAATGAATTCGAACAGGAAATAATATGATTTTGCAAAGTATTTCGCAATGATCAAATCTAAAATTTCAACTTTCATTTTTGATATTTTTAGTGTTTATGATATTCTAAAGAACACTGAAGAGTTTTCTAAAATATACCAATGTCCTCTTGGTACCAAAATGAATCCTGTGTATAAATGTGTTTTTTAAAAACATAATGATCATCTATGCGTGTGTACGTGTGTGGAAATATTTTCTGTGTACTTGAACATGTAATTGTAACTGAACCTGTCTTGATGTACTTACCTAATTTTTTCTATTAAAAATCATGTTTTAAAAATGAAAGATGAAAATTGTTATTTTATTGTCAAATGCAAGTGTATTGATTTGAAAAATGCAGCTAATAGTAGGAGAGCATTTGACATCTGTTTCTCCGATGATCAAAAAACATTGTGCATTGAGAAAATAATACTCGTCTTCATCTTCATTTTTGCTAAGGCTGATGATATGATGATGCACTAAAAAATAGGAAAAATTGAGACGTAGTAGTAGATTAGACCGCCTTGTTTTTTGAAGTCATGTTTGTAATTGACAAAAATAACTTCGAACAGGGCAAGTAAGCGATTATGAATAGTAACAGTAACTTGTCAAGTTAGTTGAGAAAGAAGTAGTATCATATTGAAAAAAGAATTACTTGATTACGTATCATAGAAAACCATTGAAGTGAAAAAAACCCTCTACGCTCCAGACCCCAGTATCCTTGATGAGATTTTCTTACAGAATAAGACATCAGTACGGTTGAGACTCTTCAGATAAGAGAGAAAGTCAGTAAAGTGAACCACTTCACTTGATCAACATTCTGCATTTCGAAGCTGGTAAACACGTTCCATCTTTGCTTGCATCATTGCGAAAAGCGTAGGATGAATTTGCGTTTTATCTGAGTCTTCATCAAATAGAACTATGTCATTGGTAAATTCTTAGTCTACAAGCAAATCTCTTTGTAAACGTTTGATACTTGAAAAGTCAGACATGGTAATCCTTAAAGATAAAAGCATATCAATGATGCAGTTACACGAGATTGGAAAGAGTAGCACATCTTGACGAACAACAATATTGGTATTCTGTTTGAATGATAGTTCTCCATTTGCTTTTCCTTGACCTGTAGTGTTAAGGAAGAGAACTCGGTGAAAGTTGATATTCTCCTATATCACCAGTTTATTTGACGGAAACTGCCACAGAATGTCACGACGACAGTGTCAAGTGTCACTTTTGTTTTCACACAACACGCGAATGAATAGAGAGTCCAATAAGATTACGCTCAAATTCAAATTTCAGTCTCAGTCAATCTCACTGATTCAACGGTGAACCAGTCAGGGCGTGCTGATCTTCATCGAATGACATTTACAAAATCATTTCCAATTGGACTCAGACCTTGGGACTTACACACATCCACCATTTAGAGTAACTTCAGATTTCGTATACCCGAATAATAGCCGAAGGACAGACAAGCAGATGCGTAGCATGTTCAGTGCGTTTGTATAATTTTCTGGAAATGAGAATCAATGAAAATCGCATGTTTGCAGAGATTGACTATCCGAATTTTCGTTTGTTAGTGCCAGATTGAATAGTAGTTATATTAGTAGTAGTAGACTTATCAGTGGTAGAAGTAGTACGTTCAATTATCATCATTGCTTTTCTCATCTCTCTCGATACAGTCACCCAGCAATGTTCTGCATCATCAGACTACGTCTCAAGTGATTCCGCTATTTATCGTGTTTCAGCCAGCATTGATGAGATTCCTAAGTAACTATGATGTCAGCAGATCTTACTAAAATCCATTTCTGCTGACTAGCCTTATGTCTTTCCTTACAGCATATATCCTTGCATTTTCCGCAGCCTTTTCAAAACAAATTCAAGCTGACCAGGGTTCATAATCACTCAGCTCACTGTTAACTATTTTTCCAGTTGTTCTTCAATTATAAATTTTTATATGCTGTCATTAGGTAGAATTCAAAGATGTTACCTTACATCATCTTACCTACGTCCAGTAAGACGCAAAATATACTTGCTCGTAGTAGATCATGATCTAATCTAGATATGTGCGCCAAAACAAGCAACATTATTTCATCAAGGCCATATTTGTTTTTTGAAAGATAAGAGATGGTTTTCTATTCATTGTTGGGAAGGTTTTGGCAGTTCTCATGAAATATGTTTTTCATGCTCTCAAATTTGGTATTCGTCAGAAGTAGGTGGTCATTTTAACGAACATGAAAAAGATAACCTTCAATATTTGTTTATCGAGCATCGATACAATAGGACGCACAACACACTGGGGTTACAGGATTTCAGATTCAATGCTCAGAATGCCTGTTGACCAGTGTGTTACAAGGTTTGAAAATTGAAAGCTTCAACGTGTTGTTAACAGCGTGGTTTCGAAAAACTAGAATTACGATTTCGCGTACACGAATAAGTAATTTCCAAGACTACACTTCATACAAGGATGTCAAAATGTTTGATAATCCATGTAAAAGGGATTTAATTGGTTAAGGTTTGATGTGACTTCTCAGCTGCCAACACGGTGAAGCGCTATTTTTAGATGAACCTGTTAAAAAGTTAGAAAGTTATTAGTCTAGGAGAGCAGAGTGAGAGGACAAATGATTGATTCCGGCAAAGCCACACTTTCAATCGCTCTAACAGACGGGTAGCCAATTCGGAAGGAATCTAACGCAAGACGTCAGCAGTCGAGAATGTACCCGGTATACAAAAGTTAACCGGATTCGGCAGATTGATCGTCTGATCTGCCTCCGCTATTGCGACAGCAAAGACAATTGCAAGGGAAGAAGATCAGTGAAACAGACAGCTAATCAGATGTAGGTCTTAACTGGAAGAATTTCGAAAATCATGATATCCTGAAAGAATAAATCATACACCGAACAATCACACCTAATTTGCAAGTTTTCGAAGATGTAAAAGGAATCACATATTTGTGGAGCATTATCGGTCAGCAAGGAGGATCATATGCGGATGTGAAGACACGGATCGGTAAAAGTAATAGCTACAATTTTAGAAATGAGCGAGATCTGGAAGTCAAAAAAGACGTCATCCGACAGGTAGCCAGAGTTTTTGAAATGAACGTCAATCAGATTCACTCAACATAGCCGAAACGTTAAGATCTAAGAAAGCAGACAAAAAAAACTCTTTACTGAATATAAAGATGTATTGTCAATCAATACACAATAAACAGCTGAGGTTTGTAAAAAATAAAGATGCCGAAAGTGAAACAAAAATTAAGAGAATCCATCAAGCCAATGAATGCTTTTTACGAGGATGCAATTAAAGTTTTCCGATTATTGAAAAGAATGAAAAGTCGACGAAGATCATGGTTCGTTAGTTGACTGCCCTCTACATGAAGTTAAACACATAATACTTCGTACATAAAATTAACAATGTTGTCTTACAAATAACCTGTTTAGCATATACTCTTTTTTCATGTAAAACTTTCCATGTTCTCATGTTGTTCTTTCATCAGTTGGTACCCTTGTTTTTCACTTCATGTTTTAGAAAATTCCTTATTCTTGTCGGATCAC